GTGTACGAGGCACTAAAAAACATGAATTTTCTTGGGGTTGAAGAAAAAATACGCGTTGCGAAATTGCTTGTGAAGAACACGGAAGAGCTAGATTTGTTCTTCAGTTTACCTGATGCAGAAAGAAGCATATACGCTCGCATGATTGCTGAGAAGGAAATTTAAACTTTGTTGTTTAGAATACTTTTAATTTGTAAGAATGGTTTGTTTCTGAATTATGCTTAAAACTTTTATTTTCCCAGACTATGAACTTGAAGTTTTAGAAGACTTGTGTAATGTAAAATTTGAAATTTGTTGGAATTCTAAATTATTACGATGTACTATATTTTCAAGATTTATTTAATTAATTTTTATTAGGGTATATCAGTTAATTATTTTATTACTACGTATTCAATTTATTATGATTATAATTTAAAATTTTAAAAATTATATATGTATATAGCTTATCTTATATACCAATATATAATCTTGTACTTGCTTATTTTATATAAATATAATTAGTATTTTATACTATTTGTCCAAATTTACGAATTCAAATTCGAAATATTTGACATTGTTGTAACTAAATTGTTCATTTGTAATTAGTAATACGATCAAACTTAGTTAATCCATGGAGAACCATTAAATTATCATTTGAAAATTTTGGTCCTTACATATTACCCACACAGTTCATAAAAAATTTAAAAAACATAATGAAAAAAAAACCACATCTAAAAGTACTGAATAAACTAGGAAATAAACACCACCACCACTGAAACTTGAAAGACAACCACAAACCAAGACCCCAATCTAGAAGGTTAATTTGTAAATAGGTGAGTTTGATCCAGACGAGCTGCGAAACTCCATATTCGGTGAACCAATGTCACCATCATTCACTGCCCCACCACCAACATCCATGTCCGAAGACTCGGTCTCACTAACTTCCAATGGCTCCGCATACTCTTTACCATCGTTGTCCTCTTGCTCCTCGTTTATCTCCATCACGGCAGGCTGGTACCCTTCTAGAAAATAGGTCCACATCTCACTGTCAATGGAATCACCACGGTCGCTTGAGATGTTGATGTAATCGGGAGGCATCTTTGGTGGCGCATTATCGCGCTCAACTGACGGCTTTTCTTCAAAGATGTCCTGGGATGTGGAGTCAATGTCAATGACCTCGTTATTCTTCCAACCGAAAGTGTGTTTGTCGCTGAAGATGAATGATAACTTTTTCCACTCTGGTTCACCCCACGGGTTGTATGCATGGCCTAGTTTGAAACGCTAGGAGAAAAAAAAACCGCAAGTTAACTAAACAATTAAAAAAATTTTATAAAAAGTATAAATAAAACAGTGGACTTACATAGAAGATGGCATCCCATGTGGTCTCGTTTGCATGTACGAAATTAGTTTCTTCATCATACTGAACACCCGTAGATGAAATTATGGCTTTAAACGTGTAAAACCTCATTTCCATTATTTTCAGCTTGTTTTCACACTGCTCGTAGGTAAAGGAAGTTCCAAACTCTTCGTTGATGGTTCCGAGTAGGGCTGGGACTTTGGGATCGGGATTCGGGATCCCGTCCCGTCCCGATTGGAATTTTACTATTTGGGACTAAAACTTCGGGAATTCGGGATTACGGGTTTCGGGATCGGGATTAGGAACAAATATGGGATCGAGATTCGGGAATTGGTTCAATCGCGATCGGGATATTTTAATCCCAAATTAAGAAAAAAGAAAAAAAAATAGAAACACACACACACACACACATATATATATATATTATCAAGGAGATGAGAAATACAATATAATATATCGTTTCAACTTATTTTTAAATTTTTAAAATTTTATTTGTTCCAAGTTTTGTGGTAAAAAATAATAGTGCAAGAACATATAGTATGTATATAATATATTTAAGTTGGTGTAGTGTATAAAATAATACTAATGATAAAAAAAAAACAATATTTCTTAGTTTTTAGGCAAAATGTGGTATTCCTGATCACAATCCCGAATTTCCGAAATATTTAGGGATACCGATATTACCGGGATTTAATCCTGAATCCCGAAATCCCAATGCCGAAACTCCCGAATTCCCAAAATCCCGTCCCGAACTCAGCCCTAGTTCCAAGTCCGCGAAGAATCGTAGTGCTATTGTTTGAACCCCACCAAAAGTTTCCTTTCTTTGCATCATCCACCACAACTTCAATGAAACGCCGATCAACACGCCAAGTCCATTCTCCATCGTAGAAGAAGGCATCTTGTTTGATTCTCGGGACTGGTGCCATTTTTTGAGATTTGTATTTCAATTGAGGAAATTTAAATGTAACTGGTGTCCTTTGAAGAACAAACGGGATTCAATATATAGAACAGGTGGGAGGGGTGGGAGGGGTGGTAGGTTATTTGTCACTTAATGCTTGCATAAGTGAAATGATTAGTATTCTTGTTGGAAAAGCAAGAAATTTAATACACACCAAAAGTTCATACGCATAAGTTCTGCAAAACTTCTACTTGCCAACTACATTAATAGCCTATTACTTATCAATAAAAAAAAATTAATTAAAAAATTCGCCCCTTGACATGACAAGTTAGAGTATTTATTACCACAATGCAATATGGAGATCTTGCAATGAACAATGCTACTCAAAATCAGATATCATACACTTAATGCGAGAACTTGAATTAATAGTTAAAGGCTACACAATAATATTTGAACAAAATTCTTCTAATTTGGACATACACCACCTAACACATAATAAACAACTAACATTAAGAACAACATACCAATTATAGCAGTCCAACCAAGTACATTCATCGTTCGGACTTTACGTTTATACAATAGTACTTGGGATTTTTAGTTGGAATTCTCTTGTTCGTAAAGATTAAGCTTGGTCAATAGCCCAGATATAACCTCAATCGGCGGTTCGCGAGTGGACTTGTCACACCATCTAAAGAAATTACAACGATCTTCCTAAAAATATTTTTTTAGATATAAAATAATTAGATAATTTCATAACAACAATAATATCGTCTTCGTGGATTTTTTTCCGAAAGAACAACTCAAACTCAGTAAATTACTTGCCTCTTTCAACGAACAACAATAAAATCGTCTTCCTGTATTTTTTTCCGTTCTCGAGGTTTTAACTGTCGTTTCCAAACCGCAATGACAATGAAAATGTAACCAGAACAATATGGATTAGACTCGCCACTCTCACTGGAACGACAATTTGCCCTATTTCGCACATAGTTCGAATTCGAACTCATACTGCAAAATTAATAAATAAAAAACTCATGAGCATTGTGCGAAGTGTATGAATCAAAAGTATTATTGAATGGGTGATTATAAAATAATTTTACTTTACCTTCGGAACTTCAAATTCGTGCAGCTCTGTGTAGAAGTTGTAGAAGTTGAAGAGACGAACCCTAGACCAAATTGGAAGAAAGAGAGTAGATACACGAAATGTTTGAGGCCCTGTTTTTAAATGTTTAATATCTTTTTATTTTGAAGTTAGGGGTGTTTTCGGTTTTTTGATATAAATTTTATCCACAAGAAATAAAATGGTATTTTTAATTGGACCATCAATCACCCATACCAAACAGAGAATTAGCTGGTTAGGAGTTACTTTGAACAGTACAATCCTTGGATTAATTATCAATTAATGTAATCCCATCACTCAAACCAAACGAGCCCTTAGGGTTTAGTAATGATTTTGGAAAAAGAAATGCAAACCATCACAATTTTAGTATGGTTCTGATTTTACCCTGGAGATTATGGATACCCAACCATTTAATTCAACATAATATAAATAAAATAATAATTTGGTAAAATTTTAAAATAAAGTATTAAATAACCTAGGCAAAAACTCAAGTACATAACAAGTTTCGTATCCAATCAATTGTGTATCCTATATTTCATATGTAAAAATATATTGTAGTGGATATTGCTTTTTAATTATCATTTTGTTGCCTTGTAACATCAATTTTTGTGAAGTTTCTTATTTCATTTTGTATAATTTACATGAAAGTTTTGCTGTCTTTTTTTTTCTGTGAGGTACGGAAAAGTTATTGGCCCTAAATTATTTGATATCACCATAATTTAAATGGTAAATGGTTACCCATGGGTATCCGTATATTGGTGGTAATGGTTCTGGTATTTTGGTATTGCGGTATGGTTTTTAAATGGGTTTGGTATGGTTCTAGTTTGAGCTAAATTAAATGATAATCGTTCTAGTATTACACTTATTCGAGGGTACCCATTCCGCTGGCATCCCAATGTGAGAGAGAAGAAATTTTACTTTATAATAATTAACCAATCTTATATTTCCGTACAAACTATATATTAAAAAATATTGCATATTAATATCCGTCAACAATATACTTTTCAACAAATTAAGCATTGCTTCAACTTATATATTTTTTCAAGAATCAAGAACAAAACAAATAAGTAAATAAATAACACGGAAAGAAGTGCTGCCTAAAATTCAATGAATTGCCTACATGGGAATAGCTTGATTCATTTACTCAAAAGAATAGCTTGATTCACCCAATACTGAACAATAAATAATTTGACGAAGAATTGAAGAAGAGAAAGGTGGTTCAAACACTTAAATCACAACAAGGGCAAAGTAGTCTAAAATCCATTCAGCGTAATGTTGAATGAATAAGCCCATTTTTTTGGGCTGAATCGGCCAGCAACTAGTGGCTTCATTCAGATTATCTTACCAAACTTGTGCTGAACGAATCAGTATTTTTTGCCATCCAGAGGTCATTAACCCAAAAAATAAAAACAAGCACAATGAAACACCCACTCCCTTCCCCAGCAACCCTCCACCACCCACTTGTGCCACCCCAAGTATAATTATTTTTCTTAAATCGTACAATTGAAATGTAAATTGTATGATGTGGATTCTAAAGCGTACAAGTTTTGATTTATTCTAAAATTAGAATCAAGAAAAAGTTGAAACTAAAACAAATAGTACAATTTGAATCGTAAATATTTGTACGTTTTAACAATCACAATGGTTTGTAGCAACGTGGCAAAAAATATATATTCGAAGGGAAGAGAATTATATTACATGTATGCCATAGTAAACACATTTTAAAAGACCTATAAGTAAACATGATCATAATTTATAAACAATTCTAGACTTGTAAAATTGCTAGTTTGCTTGCTACCCATATAGACTTAAAGCATGATGACCGCTGCAGCCGCACTTACCCATAGTAACATTGCCTCTCAGCGCCAAGAATAATCAAAAATTCTATTTGCTTACAAAATCACAAACCATGTGCTAGTAGTAAATATAGCACACAAGTATATTTCAAATTTTCGAAAACGATATTTCGGAATGAACAAAGAGAAATCACAGTTCAGAAGAATATTTTCCTCAAATCAAAAGTGTCAAGCTCGCTCCCATTCTGCAGCTGTCTGCCTGTCATCCAAGCCTTATATAAATCAAATTATAAATGAATAACGTTATAGGCATTCGTAGACAAGATGCATCCGTAGAAGCATGTTTACAATGTAGACTAAAACTTACACAAAAAATGAGGTTAGATGTTAATAGTTGCATCCCACAACCTAAGCATCCCATTACGACCCCCAGTGCATATTCTCTTTCTTTCAAGGTCAAAAGCCACACATCGAACCTGAAACCATCAACAAAATTCACAAACTACAGTTAAACCTCTATAAATTAATACTGTTGGGACCATCAAAATTTCATTAATTTAGCGAAATATTAACTTATCGATAAATTAATAATTATTAATTTATACATTAATTAATAAATTATTAATTTATGAAATTACTTTTATTATTATTTTCAATAAATACATTTTTTTAATTTTTTTTCCGTGTATATTATTCATTGTACCATTAGTTCAATGCATTATAGAGCCCGTTTCACGAACGGAAGCTCTGAAAGCAGCAATGGTATAGAACGATTTTATGTTGAGTTATGACAAAACTATACCAAAAGTTCTAACCATGTTAAGAAAAGTGAGGGACAAGATTGATGGTAATTTGAACTTCAACAAGAAACAAGCAACAATTAAATTATATTGTATTAAGCTTTCATAGATCTATAAAATATGTACTATACCATGTAATTTAAGAATTATTTTTATGCATTATTAATTTATATATTATATGGGGCTTCTTAAATTTTTCGAATGTGTATTATCTTATAAATTTAGCGAATTATTAATTTAGCACGTTGTCCCCGAGTCGGGACCGGGAAAATTTATTATTTAAGCGAGGTTATTAATTTATCGGGTATTAATTTATCGAGGTTCTACTGTAGTCAAGTAGGAATCATAATTATTACTCAAACTGTAAAGCTCTAACAATTACAGTTGGACGAAAGCTGCAGAAAAGGATGCCATTAGAAGAATGCGGTTCATTTAAAGGTCAATAAGTCTTGGTTAAAAGGCAAATAACCTGGGAATGGGGGGATCTAAATGGAAATATATGATTATCGGACAAACTGTTATAGTCAGTGAAGAATATAGATGAATGCATCCAATCCTGCTCATGATTGGTCATACTGAATACAATATTTTTGACCCAGACTCGCAAGTCAGAATTCTTAACCAAATATTGTTATCAGAACCAACGAGGAGTTATTAATCCGTTTCACATCATAATGGTAATGCAAAAAAGATATAACAGAGAAGGTTTAATGATATAATATCCATATTTACTTAAATGTTAACCATCTAGATATTAACATCTTTTCTTTCCAATATATTTCTTAGATTCAAGTTATGGTAGTTAGCTTCCTTAAAGATCCAGACGGGTGGAAGGATTTGCAAGAATGGCTTTTAAATTAGTGTTACTAAATTCAGTTATTTTGGACAGATCTGGATGTGCAACAAAGTTAAGCATAGATAAAAGTAATCACAAGGAGCCAAGGAGAGAAGAAAAACATTTGGTGGGCTAGAACAAAACACACTCGCCCAGGCTGACTGGGGGAGCAAACTATAAATACGTAAGGATCAGAATATGTAGATCTTCAATTAAGAGCTAAATGGCTTCACAGTACAGAATAGTAAATATGGAAAAAAAACCTTACCATAGCAACTGCTTTCTGTGGAGTCCTATAGAGTTGCCACCCGGCCATTTTTGATCCTGTACCGGAGAGAGCACCAAGTCTCTCTTGAGGTCGATGGAAGAGGGACATTGAATTATCCGCTGCCCCAATTCCTAACCAGTGTTCGCCAGCATTTACAGACAATATGGAAGAATTATGAATGGTAACATTCTTGACACATCTTACAACACCTACATAAATAAAATAGATATATCAAATGGCCATAAGCTTCAAGCTTCAAAGTACTATATCTCAGAAAATATTCAGAAACATTAGGACTGGTTATGAGAAGCTCTTACCATCATCAGTTTCCCAAAACCGAAGTAGCCCATCATTTGATCCTGAAAATTATATGAGATAACTTTAGTGCAAAATGACATATCTAAACTTAAGCAACAAAATTTTTAGATAACCAAACAGAACTATCAGTAACAAGGACAGTGACTTTAACCTGTAATAATTCCTTTATCTGCTATAGAATACTCCACAGATAGAACCGGACCATCATGGCAAGCTAGAACAGAGTCACACGTTCCTTGGGATACAGACCACACTCGGGCAGTCCAATCATCACTACCTGTTATTACAGTATCTCCAACCATTCTAACGGACCTGTATAGTCACCATGAAGAGTGTCTAGTCACCACAACTACAATACAACATTATTTTTTTAAATTACCACGACTGACCTGATCCATTTTGAATGCCCTACAAGCTTGTGCATCTGCCTTCCAGCCCGAATGTCCCAAATGTTTGCAACCCTAAATATAAATGTGAGAAGAAACCATGCTTTCAGTAGATGAGGCCATTAAAAAGAACTATCCGTAATTTGCAGGACACGATAATAATTGCCCCTTTTAAAAGTCTAGACAACAAATATTTCTTACGCATCTCGACCTCCGGCAGCCAAGATCCCACTGGAATCATCATATTCCATGCAGAGAATTGCACTTGAACAGCGGCCTACATTTGCAACACAGGTATCTGTCCTTACATCCCACATCTTCACAGTTCCATCATGTGCAGCTGTCAGGACACGTTCACCTGAGAGCATCCGTACAATGCTGACCTAAAAGGGAGCATAATAAGCATTAGAAAAGTAATATGCCTTCAACGAGAAATCAAGAAAACAAATATGCATATAAATGAGATAGGCATACAGAAATATCCAACTAGTAAAGCAAAAACTAGGATATACAAATCAATCGAAGAAAGCAGGACCTAAGAAACTGCTGACAACAGCGAAACAACAGTGACCATCAAGTCGGGGATACATGAACTTTAGAAAGTATAATCCTACCTCAAATGATTTGGGCAACCATACATATGTCAATATACAAAAAAGCAGTCTCTATACAGTCAAATTAAACTGGAAAGATTAGAAGGTGTAAAAACAAGACCCGATCTTCTGAATTGCTGAATTATTGAGGAGTTGCTTCCTCAAGAAAATTAAAGAGGTGGGAGTGGGCAATTACAGCAATACCGGCTCTCAAATATAAGAATTACTGTTTTCTGAGAGCATTCTCTAGCGCAGATCAAATCTTTTATATGCTTTTGCTTTTTAAGTCACCCAAATATAGATGCTATTTGGCTTTATCATTTTAGATTACGACATCCATGACTCGGATCCTAACTGCTTCTCAAGTCGCCGAATTAAAATGCTATCTGGCTGGCTCTATCATTTTATATTATGACATCCATGACTTGGGATCCTAAGAGCTTTTTAAGTTACCCAATAAAGATGCTATCTGACTTTATCATTTTAGATTACGATATCCATGACTTGGGATCCTAAGGACCCTGTTTCGAGTTTCATTTCAAGGGTTAATGAATAAACTGTGATGATCGTGAACATAAAGTCCTACCTAAGGAATAAAGAAGTTATATTCCGTTTAATTTTATTTACAGTAAAATATGGGGACCATCCACAGTTCCAAAACTATCAGGTTATAGATCTTGCCAATTTTATCATACTCACCTCAAAAAGTATCGTAGATCCATTTAAACTCGGAGAGGTAGATAAGAGTTGAAAAAAAAAAGCATGAATACAATATTGCCTTTTCTGATAGTGGTTTCAGTTAATCATTTTAAGGGTCGAATTAGGGGCAAACCATTAACCAAACTGAAACTTTTTTCTCATGTCATCCCAGAAAGCAATATGGCCGATAAATTTGAAAAGAAGAGTATATCTTCAATAGATAACAATGAAAATCTGTTGTAAAAAAATGGCACGAGCATGGTTTCTAGTATACAGCTAGTTTAAATCACTAAACTAACCATGTATTGAGCTGAAATGCAGATAAAAACTTGCTAGATCTACACCAGTCTTGGCAAAATACCTTGGCCATATCCAAGGGTGTTTAAAAAGTGAATTTCCAGAAATGTCAGATCTAGTAATTGCAGAATGAATCCATTTATTTTATATTATAGATTCTTCTAGAAGGATTAAAAGCTCAACCATACAAACCTTTTTCTCAAAGTAAGTTTTTTTTTCACAAATATATAGATCACATTCTACACCATAGATGTAATTTGAAATGATTATGGGAACCACTAGAGCACATCGAGAAAATAAACAACATCTCAACACACACAAATGAAAATAGGCAAGGGCAACGAAACAGTAATGCTCCAACCAAACCTGTGCCTCATGCCCCTTCAGCTCTTCTAGAAGCTGAGTCGTCTGTTTATCCCACACGAGGACAGACTGGTCATCTGAACCGGATACTACCTTTCCTCTATCAGAGCTTATGGCTCGGACTGTTCTGCAGGGAGAAATAAACAAATATAAACTACTCATCCGCCAACCTCAAACGAATAACAAAGCATTTATAGATGATTTTTTTTCACATCCAGACAAGCTTCTGTGTCTACATGCATGAGAAGATCAACTATGTTACCCCTATCTCAACACACAACTGATGGGCATGCATTAAAAACAGATGACACACACACACGGACGGGAAAAGAGAGATTGATTTAGAAGCTACCTAGTGTGCCCCTTCAAAGTTGCCCTGAGTTCAGAACCACGAAGGCTAGGGTCCCATATCTTTACCTGCATTTTCCAATAAATATGACATCAAAACATCATCTGTAGGGAAGAAAACTACAACCTAGTGTGGAAAGGTGACGAGTTTCACAAGTCCTACGGTAGGGCATAAACCCTGGGTCTTATTTCCCATGAGTACGCACAAAATATTAATTTACCAAAAGATATGGAAAAAAATCCAAAACTAGTAGGAAACAAGATCATGAAAAAATAAATCAGATCATAATAATGTATTATAGAATAAAACAGAAATGTTGGAATTTTTAACTCCACCTATAATGTAGTGGAAAAATAATCTATAAATATCTAAATCATGAGATAGAAGATGCATATTCAGATACAGTAATATTTGTTATGGGAATTCAATTTTAGGAAAGGTTGATTAAAATTTTGTCATTGTGACATTTTACAATCGAACAAAAGAAAGATTTTTTTTAGTTGCACATTTCTGGAGCATATGTCCATTGACTCCTTACAGGGGAAAGTTCTCCTAGCATTGTCGCAAGAGTCAAGACTAGTTAATACCACCCGCCCTGAAGAATAGTTACTCACCTAGAATAGAATTCTATATATTGTCATAAAGTCTCCAACATTAAAAGGTGTATAGAGCACTCAAGCGAAGCTTTTGGCTCTAAAAGAGGAAAGAGCAATTGGTACAGCAAAAAGGAAACGAGAAGAGTGGCCTTATCCTCTCACAAAGTAGTTCCATTGCAAAACTTTTGAAAATAAACATCAAATTTACTACTACTCAAGCTTACTGTGCAGTCTGTGCTTCCACTGATAAAGAACCCTGCATCTTCACGATCACCAACCAGATCCCACACTTCTCTTTTGGTCACACAATGTAAAGCCGTCACTGCTCCACTATGACCTCTTAGCATGCGGATATTTGTCTGCACTTTCTTCGGCCCTGATGCAGATACGTCTTGCTTGAGAAGAGATCCATTATCATTCGTAGCTGAAGCAAAATTAATGCATCATCTCAGGATAGTAAAATTAGATGAAGTTGAACCACTACAGAAAAGGAGCCTATATATAAATTACCACTGTCAGTTGTCCCCTGACGAACACGGCTAAAAGAGCTGGCTCTATCTCGGCTAAACATGCTCTGAACCCAACTCCTCCCAACAACAGATGCCTCCGAAGATTGCTGAGTGCTATCGGCGGTATCTTGTGGACGTGGAGATGTCAATCCAAATGAGGAGACAGACTGAGATTTTCCAGAATAGATTCCCCAATACCCAACGCAAATTTGTCGGATGTGCGACAGGAATCCCCTGATCTGTATCTGTTAAAATACACAAAATTATAGGTGCAGCGAATTATTCGTAAGGAGGGATAAAGACTACAGATATTGGAAACATATTAAAGGGTAACAATTTAATGATTCGTATAAATAAAAGAAAATCTGGGTGCATATCAAACAAAACACTTGGGACTTGCAAATTACACTATTGCCTGTCAATTTGGTATTCAAGAGGATGTTCCAAAAGAATGTTCATTCTTCGTGAAAATCATTGAATGGACTCGAGTAAGGATGTCAGAAACGGCTATTTGAATTTACGAAAGCAGCAAGACCAAAAAGTATGAATTCCAGTTTCACGTTGAATAAATGTACTTATCGGAAACCAAATTCTGCTATTTAGATCCTTTTGAATGTCTTCCAGGCTCAAGATTATTTCAGACCCCTTTCACATACTAAGCATCACCGGTTGTTCCAGAGATCCACATTCATGAACTTTTTGCTACATTTTAAGTATAACCTATGGACTGCAGTTACACAAGTTACGGACTATTCAAAAGTGAAACTGCATAGCTACCGATGGGAGTGTCACTTGTCCAGGCAAGTAGACTGGCTAAATCATAGGTTTTTCCATGGATTGCAGATAGCTTATTTACTGGATCATATCTAAGTAGTGCAGGAAAAATAAGAACAAATAAAAAGATTGTAACTTACAATGTGCTTATATCCAATGTTGTTTTTTCCAGCTATTGTTTCAATCATGTACCATGAATCAGTCTCGGAAAGTCCCAAACCAGCCTCCAAAACAGTAAGAAAAGAGAGCACACAATCAAGAGCGCGAAAATAAAAACATAGGTTAAGAATAGTATAAGAAAATGGATAAGAGCAGATAAAAGAGATACCATATGCATTGCTACAATGATTAGCTGTGTTGTCACCAATGTTGCATAATTGGTTGACCTAACATAACAATAACAAAAGAGGACTGATTAGTATAGGCCCTTCTACTATTGATTCATTGGTCTTGATAATTTTCGTACTCCTTTCCGTATTCCAAGAAAGAGAACGATATTAACACCAGATTCAAACATTGGGTCAAGAAAAAGAGAAAATAACCAGCAATTCTCATTTCAATAGATTGGAATAGTGTATTCATGTGCTTCATACATCTTCCTCTTACTCGATGATTTAAATAGTAAATGCTCATGACTAAAGTCCAGAATATATCTTCTAAAGATGCATACGAGCTTCATTAAACACAAGCAAAGAGCTCAACTTTAAACAGAACACTCGTTGAACTACGTAAAGGAACTTAAACACGATACCTTCAGTATGCCAAACTAAGTTTTTTGTTGAGCATCAACAACATCATGCTAGCAAAAGACTATGATGCTTTATAGCCTATAGGAAGTAGCAGAACTAACACAGAAATGGCAAAGCGACCAACTTAACAGCACACCTGCAAACTATAATCAGCATGTGAAGTTTCCAAATACATACATTATTGCACTTGCCATTAAAACTCTTTCCTCTTTGACTTTCCTTAATCCTGGTTCTACTTCTTGAATTACATTAACAAAGAATCCATATTCAATCTTCAAGTTTTCAGCATTCAGCCTTCAGCTGATTTTCTGAATTCAACAAAATCCCTTATTTCCTTAAAAAATATACCTACTAAGTGCATGTACCTAATACCTCACAACATATACGCTTCCTACTGGATATAATATTGCTGCAAGGTATTCAATAATCAAGCCAGATACTAGGATATTACGTGTGCATAGAGAAACTTGTGTCAAATCAAGAATAAAGGAAATTGGTTAGGGTGGTTGATTTTGTATGCTTCTCTATTTCAATTTATAACTGTATTATTAACATATGCACTGCAATACCAATATGTTTTTACAGGTAAAGATTTTCAAGTTAATCCAACCAACAGTTGACATCTCCCAGTGTATAAACCCAACTTCTCGCTAGAACTATTACATTTTATGTGATCACACGTACTTTTTTCTCCGACAGTCACCATGATGGATGCCAAATAGAACCAAAAATAAAAGTAAACAACCAAAAATTGTGACTATGTTAACCTCTTAGAGGCCTAGGTATTGATTATGACCAGTTAATATCTCCCAATTACGATTATTAGATGGTTGAAGTTGCAACCCTGGTACAGAAGCTGTCTGATCCTCTTTACTCCACTTTCTCCACCCACAAGATGTTACCCATCATAACTCCAAACAGATAGTTACAAGTCATAACATTTCTCATCTTACCATAGTTAACCTCCTTTGGACCAACTTAAATCAGATTCCACCGTCCTCTATTAGATTGAAGTTCATCATTGGTTTCAAGTTATGGTATCACAAGAAAGTAGAAACCAACTTAAATCAGATTCCTTCCCTCCTTTGTTAGGTTGAGGTTCCTAATTGACTTCCTATAATGGTTTTTCAAGAAAGTAAGAACCAAAGGCAAGCTCAGAGATCTATACATCTGTGAACATGCCATAGTTTGTTGTGAAGGCAGCCATATTATGCTTATACGGAAATTTGGCACTCGCTTATTAAACTTTCTAAAACTCACAGTCACTGCTAAATGCTGCTATTGATGTTTTACTTCATTAGAAAACGAAGTAAAGACAATAATAAGAATGAATTTCAGATTAAAAGCCCACTTGATCAAACACTCTTGAGATTGAATAAAATAAAATAAAAGTACATAAATTACCAACATGAGCACAGAGCGGGGTGATGAACTTTGTTATTATTATTTAAAATTACTGATGATTTTAATTAACTAAAACAGAAAAGAATGTCGATCTCAATTAATTGAAACAAAATGGAGTATCAAAATGGTAATATCCTTACTTGTTCGAAAAGCGGTCAAGCAGATATTCGAAGTATCCTTCCCAAAAGCTGCAATAGATTACATTGAGCAGAATCAAAAATCTTAAGAGTATAGATATCCACCGCACTGAAGTAGCAGGCATATTAGCTGAACAATTACATCACAGATTACCCCTTAAATGTTTAGGTTTCTTAATTGTTGAATCGGAAGCTAGAAAGGTTAAATAATTCACTATACCTCCAAGTAATCCTTTATATATGGAGGAATTCAATACCCTACAACATTATGCTTACACACAAAAAAATTGATTTACGTACCGGCCCAAGAATTTAACTAGCAATAAAGTTGACAAAGAAGAATTATGCATCATGTTTTGAGCTCGACTGGTTATACTAAGAACAGATCAGAGTCTACTAGCCTCAAATTTATCGCTCACAAAGTGTTTTATAGGGGTTAAATTCCCCATCAAAAGCGAATTGTTACCAAGGTAATTATATCTCATTTCTTACGAAGGAACATTCTTACGAATGTATATTTTTTGGAAAACCTGCATGTCATTTTTATTTTTTTTGAAAGGCATGGATATTTTAATTGGCAGGATGCGACTAATTATGAGTATGATGTAACCTACATTTCTCCGCTGTCACTAAACCAACTACATTAACTCTTTCCATTGAGTAGAACTTGATTTCACAACTGGAATTTATTCAGATTAAATAAATATTAAATGGTTCACTTTGTTTCACAGCTTAACTTTTTAGATGAAGCGGTTATTCAACACATTCAAACAAAAAGTTCTGATCTTAATCCCCATTTCAAACTAAAGCTAGAGTCAAGTCAATGAAGTAAGAAGATTAAAACAGATTGAATCCCGAAGAAAACAATAGAGTCCATTCAATGATGCAAAAGACAGTACAAGTAAAGATAGAAAGCTCAGGCACAAAATAAAAAGAAAACACCCATACCGTAACTCATCCCAGATTGGAAGAGAACGAAGGTGTCGCTGAACATAATCTGGAACGTTATTCACATCCTTCTTGTGCATTTCTGCAGACACTTCAAGGGCATCTCTAACAGTCGCCATGTCATTCCGAGCTGTAGCACGGCTTATAGCTATTTTGAGCTGTGGTAATTCCCAACATATTACTTTAGATTATAAATCCAGCTTAATATAATGACTAAAAAATATGGAAATGTAGAAATCGGTAACATGGCCATGCATCAGAAAGTATAAGCTGAACAAACCAGTTCTTTCACTGCAATAAACTGCTCTTCTGTCAGCTGACAGGTCCATCCCTGTTTTGAGAGAGGGGGGAGGGGCAGAGTTATAATTCGCCATGAAGACATACTGAACTGTGTTTCTTGAGATAGAACATACCGAATGAATGTGCTCTCTGATACATTCAACAAATCCACTACCACCAATTCCCTCAGCATCAGACTCAATTAAAGCTGATAAAAAATAGCAAATGTCAGAAAAAATTCCGTTCATGTCCATGGAAACAAAGCTATTACTGCTATTCCACAAAAAGGAGATTAAGTTTCTTCCAGTCCCAAAAGCATACCTAGGATGGTTCCATACTCAAACGAAGAAAGAGGATCATCAGTTGCTCCCAATTTTAGAAGACGTAGCCATAATCCCTGTGCAATTCAAGACAGTAATTGAACATGAAATCTAACAAGTAAAACTTTCTACATCATCCAAGAACTTATTCCCAAAAAAAGTGTGCAGAAAAATAATACTTGAATATCAGAAACACAGACTTTTTCTTTTCGATTATTTACTGAAATTGTCTTGAACAATAAAAACAGGTTATTGGATTGATGAAACCATGAGTAGTTGGAGGGACTATTAATTAGCAACATTACTCGATAGATAGCTTCAATTAAAAGTTCAAGATTATCTTGCTGTCCTACACAATTAGCTCTTTGTCAAAAACAAACATCACCAATATGATCTGCGGCATATACAATACTTGAGAGCGTAAAACTATTCAAACACCTGGAAGGTATTATTCCAGTCAATAATGTTAGAAACACAATCAGATTCATCCAGGACTATTATAGACCAATCTGCATTCAATCTTTACAATTCTGACGAGGAAGAACGAATAAGAACACCAAATGACGCAAAAAGACCTACAAAGACAAGTACTTAAAAAATGTATCCAATTTTGACTGACTTAAAAGGGATATATAATGTTGTAAAAAAACACAATCAGATTCACCCATGGCTATTATAGCACAAGCTGTATTCAAACGTCACATAATGTTTTGACGAGGAAAAACGAATATGAACACCAAATGACCCAAAAAACCTGCAAAGACCAGGTACGCAAAAAAATATATCCAACAAAATGGCTTAAAAGGGAATGTTGTAAAAGAAATTATTTCTAATGAGAAATAACCAATCAATAGGCACGTTACCAAAGTAGAATTCCAACAAAACCAAAAGGTAGATATCTAAGGATAAGCATTCGCCCAAATGTGAACATAGAGCTAAGAGAAGTAGAGAACATAGATAAACAGAAAAACATTGCACCTGCAGCTTCACTTTAATGTCTAGAACCATACGCTCCCTTTCAGCCTGTAATAATAGATACTCATCAGATTCAAGCAACTACAGAAGTTTCAATAACAAACCAAATGAACTAAGATAATATGATACTCACAGCCCTCTCCCTTGGACTCAGGTTTTCAGTATTAGATTCTCTGCCAGCGTGCATTGAAGGGGAACTAAATAAAGAAAAGAAAAGAAATATATAGTCGCGAGAAACAATCAAATTAGACTAGTAAGAGTACAAAGGATTATCTTTAAGTTTTATAGTATACCTAGGAGTGTGCTTTCCAGAATACTCAAGAGCCCCACTTGCTGCTGCTAGAATCTGTTTCCTCTTCTCGTCCTGCTCTTCCGTTCTGATATTTGCAGGAAATCTATCATAACAGAATTTGGCACCTGATGCAGTAGGTAGAATAAATTAAATGCATTAATACCAGATCCAGCTTGTTGTGTCCCAAGAAACTTCTTTGCACGTATACATATCTATCAGCATGCTGTTCAAAAATATTTGCGGTTACCTGATATCCCAATTCCAGGATCAGAAATAGTTACAATATCACGCTCTGTCAAAAAAGACGGAAGAACAGAAAAAGGATTTTGACCCTTGCCAATAGCATCTTGTATCTTGTCAAGAAGATTGTCGCCATTTTCTTCAGAGCCAAGACCTCTCTCCAAATAATATAAGAAACCTTGGGAATCTAAAAACTGACTTATCTGTTGTTTGCAAAACAAATATCAATTTCAGGGATCTTATCCTTTTAAACAGGCAAAAAAGCAGTTTTTAACTTGTAGAACGTTAATGAAAATCTGGAAATTAATTACGTATCTGACAATCAATGGAAATGGATTGATGTACTCACCATAGGATCTAGTGGCTGGTTTGTCGACCGGGAGCGCTTCTTCAGAAAAGCCTGGCTGTTGAAGATTTGATTTGCAGTGTTTTCCTGAAAATAACATATCAGTTGCTACCTTCACTTAGACTACTGAAACTGACAAGGTTGAGGTAGAAGTTTCATACTATAAAATTGCGATAGCCACCTAAAATTGATGCGATGAATTTTAAGAATATAAACCTGCAAGAAAAAAAACAGTATTCAGTTGATGAGACAGACCTATTTTATAGCACAAATTTCTTTGGCCATCAGCTACTCTACTCTGACAGTTCGGAAAAATTATTACAGGAGTGGAAGAGTATATGGAGAGAAGTAATAAAAATTTACCAAATAACAACACAACCCAACAAAAGATTATAAAATGGCATTTAACACCAGTGCATATAAACACACTAAATCGACAAACATTGTACTATGATTATGGGATCATATGCTATGCAGATATACACTAAACCACAGGACCAGTGCTTGCATGCTCTTGTATGACTAACAAGTATTGAAGTGATGACTAGACCAACTCTCATCACGCGGATTTGTATGTAGCATTGGCAATTGGAGTTAAGGTTAGGACTTCAAATCCTGCCCCTCCCCTATTTCCCCTAGTACAAGGTTTTGAATTTTAAAAAAAAATTAAGAAAAAAATAAATATATACGTAAAAGGAACTGATGTGTGATCGACTCCAGTGCTGTACCACTGGATGTAAGAAGTATGCAAGAAACAGATTATAACAGCATGTATCTCAACATATTTTTAAGCCATCACAAAAACTAATTAAATGGAATAAAAGCACAAAGATGGAGATATTAATAAAAATTGAGCTGTGCGCAGTATAAGTCTTGTGTGAAGAGAAGCTGGTCAAAATTGTTAAATCAATTACCAAACAAGACCCAGGATCATATGAACCAATTATACATTACACTTGGTCAAGCACAGCCACCTAATATACGTAACGATTACTAGTGACAAATTCAAAGCATAGATTGTGAATTCAGATAATTGCAAGTCAAATAAAACATCTAATATATTTGATAAGGCAAGAGCAAACTAAAAACTCAATGAGTAACATGTATATGACCATAAAAAATAAAATCATTTGCACGAACAATAACTTCATAACTATTTTAGAAAAATCACATTGTGGAATTTCTAATTGAAGCCACCCAAAAGATTTCAATTCAACCATATATATAACCATGGAAATGAGGTATCCAATGTAATAAGTTAAATATTGAAGTTAAACCTGTTCACATAAGTGTGTATAGTACTCATATCCAGAATGCACAAATTCTAATAAGTAAAAGAGGCCATAACCAGAACACGAAGTAAAAGTAATTGTATAATCCCAAGAACAAAACAAATAACTTGACTATCTACATAATACTAGGATGAAAACATCACATGGTAATGTTTACATCATAGAAGTTTAAACTGGTCAGGTCAACAACATTCACCTAAGATGGAGATCGTGATCCTCCCCCCACGGCCTACTGCCAGATCTTGGGCATTGCTCAGAAAAGGAACCAGCCTTCATCTGGTCTATCCCAACAACATTTGGATATAACAGCTTCAGTATATCACCACGCAAAGAACTATATTCTGGCTCAGGTATTTGAGGAATTTCCTCAGATGTGGTAATGAGATTATGCACAAGGTCAACCACTACAACCTGCAATTTTGTGGAGGTCAAGAACACCAAATTTTCATAAGCATCACATAGAATCAGCAGGCGCACGATTATAATGCATTGAACAGGCCAGTAACTTAAGGGCCCAAGAATTATGTTTTTTTTCTTTTCTAGCTGTGCCAGTTGAGCATTACATATATAAAAAAGTTAAGATCAGTCAATAGCTGGTTTGGCATGACTAACAATTATACATACTACAATAATCAACAAAGTTTAAATTTGACCTCAAGTTAGCTATGAAATTTACATCAAGCTTGAACAGTACCTTGTCGGGTCTACCTCAATTTATCACGTTTTAATGGGTCTTGTTAAAACAAAGTCAAAAGTCAAAAAGTAAAACAAATAGATAAGAAAGAATGGGAAGAAACAGAAATCCATCCCTAGCCAGTTGATGTCGTCATATCTATTTCCATCAAGAGGGCTCAAATCTCCCCCTTCCATCTGGCCTCCACTACCCCTCGCTCTATCTGAAAGTATGAACATACTGGGAAGAAAATGAAATCCCTAGTAACTAACCATTTTCATCATCTCTGTTTTTACATCACTTTAAGAACTCCTCGGACCAATTTAACAGGTGATTTGGGTTCTCAAAGTCCCCGCCATCATGTATTCACCTCACAGGTGCAGTTGAGTTGACAAACTATTGATGGTTCCCAGTGACAGTTTTATCAGACCATGAACGGTATTAGGATCCTGCGGCTGAATCGACCAGGTTGAAACTTGAAAAGTTTTGCTCAAATATTTTCTTTTCAAGGGATATCAAAAGTAATACTTAAATGAATGCCTAAGTATTCAATGACGCAGTATGGGTAGTTGTACCACTTAGTTAAATTTGGGTTTCTAGATCATGTATGTTCTTCAACTGTTAAAAACATTCTAATGCATCCTCTTGGCAAGCAGTCAAAAATAGATGATAACAAATGCAAAATGAAGTGACTAGCTCTAATGACCAAAAAATGATTGTCGAACAAATAAAGAAAGAGAAAATTTGACACTTATAATATAATCTTTTTATAATGAAATCCAAGAAGGAACTTACACCATCCATGGTCAGTCCAAAAGTATCAACACCTGAATGAAGACCCATCATGTATGGTGTCGGAGCATCAATATAGTCAACTCCACTGAAAAATAGTAACGGAATGTAGACATGCTTCAGCACAACAAAGATAACAAGATCAGAAATCATTCCTTCAAAATATTTGAAGAATAATCTTAATACAAAAGGACTACACTTCGTTTCATAATAAGCCTTCTCGGAATCCATAGTCAAAAAGAATATGAATATACCTGCCAGCGAAACGGGTATAATAGATGGCATATGGCCTCCGATGCAAGAGTTAAAAGGGAATATCTGCACATACCATGTAAATAGTGTACTGTCAGCAAAACAATGAAATGAAAAAACGATAACTACACCACATTTAATGTGATCTATCCACCTTATAGAGACATTTAAAATACTGGGAATTACACATCCCCTGAAGTAGCTTTGACACTATCGATTCCCAATGAATCAGTTCACAATAGGAAAACTTCTGACATCAGCAGGGCTATCAAAATTCATCTTTGAAACTAATTTATACTAAAATATATAACCTTGCTGCTTATTAATCCCGACTGGCACAATAAAGAGTATTGGATAGGTTAATATGTGTGCGGAAATGAACCTAGAAGAGTATTAATAGGATTTATTGTAATGCTATCAAAAGTGGCGTACTTCAATTTCAAATAACTTCACAGGTATAAGGCCAAAATATTACTTGTCTGAGCGGAGCAAAATCCTCCTCTCAATCAACACGGCTGTAAATAATTTGATGAAATTATCAACATCCAAACACTGGACAAGAGGCTGGAAAGATATCTGTCATGACATGAAATACAATATATTATCAAATAAAAGTGGTGCAGACCAACAATAAACAGAAAGTGTTCACCAAATAAAAATGAATGATAAAAATACCACATACATCAGCATGAGGAAGCCCATCCGTTGGCGGAAACTCTACCGCAAGCAGGCTATTCTCAATTGCAAATAATACTCGGTCCTTTCCAGGAGTAGGCAGTGGCACATTGGAGACTAAGTATGCTATAACATCCCACAGTGGCTTGCTGAAAAAGGTTTGAAGCTGAGAACACTACATATCCTCTTCAAAACATAATAATAAGCTTTCTCAATATAAGAAATGACAAGGAAAGCAGAGAGCACTGTTCCTATTTAGATGTATAAAAGCAAAATGTTGCAATGACAAGATATGCATTATAGCTATGTTATCCTCGATTAAAATGGTTATAACTTATAACTATACAACTAACAGTGCCTCTTTTTCTATAACTTTTTTAATCAAATGTATGAGCAGATTTGGGGAGAGTTAAAACTTGGTAAAATCATTTGCTTTCTGTAAGAATAGCTCGAGGGAACTTGCACCCTTCATATACCATAAAAATATGAACTAACCTAGTCATTATTAGTACTTCAAAAGTAGAGTAAACTGCAATGCCTTCCCTGAGGGTAGATCAGGAAACCCATACTCAAACATACCAATGAAATGGTAAATATTTAAGAGTGCTTTTTCCCTTCTGTAGTTCTGTTGAATGTGAAAAGCAAAGGACGCATATTTTCGACCACCACCCCACCCAAAAATAAAAGAGAACTTTCCACTCACTCCAAAGCGAGAAAAAATCCCAAACCATTCACCTTAAACATCCTTTTTGACAAATTTTGAGCTGCTTTGGAGTTAAAATCTTGGTTTCACTAGTTTAAAAGCTTGCATTTTAGAAAGAGAAGTTTCCGTCCTAGGTTTTGGAAATAAAGGTGCATCCAATTTAGACCGACAATACTAGATTATGTATTTCCAACCCAAAACAGGAAGGTCAGTGTATCAAGAGTATTTCAAGTCTACTCATAATGGACTTTTACTCCGGAGGAGTGAGTCTGCAAGATGCATGAATTATATGTCGGGTGTTTTATGATGTATGTCAACTTTGGAGTGTTGTTTTGTATTACTATATTTATCACCTACTCAAGATTGTGTACAACAACATTTACTGGACTAGAAAAAGGGTGTCGTAGCTACATCACTTCACATATATCAATCTGAATAGAAGCATGTAGGACTTTAAGGAAATTTATGTAATATGTTAGAAATTATACTGGAATGGATATAAGTTGTTATCGTAGTCTCGTGAGGATATACTCAAATTCACGTTCATTTCTAGTGGAACTTCTTAAGATGGAAACCACCATGTAGTAGCATCTTTTCATGTCGACAATATCCCAAGTGGAGCACATTCATGGTGATATTGAGAAGTCTTTCTTTGGATTGCAGAACATAAATTTATGTTAAAACCTAAAAGCAACTAAACAAAAAGAACTTAAATGTCAATTCGAAATTGTCGAACCCCATTATATTTACTCTAAACAGAGATTCCATTTAAGTTTTCATGGGCAGGTATAGACTCAGAAAACTAAAAGTGGATCCATTATTACCTGCTTCCAGTTTTCGAAAAACAAAGTAGGAATATCTCCTCCAATGCATCCCGCAGAATGCCGAAACTGGGCGCACGGGAAACGAAACAGATGCATTTATCGGCAAACGAATTGGCAGGTATACGATAGGCCTCCGCTATGTCCTCGCAGACAGGATCTCGAAAAGCAATGCAGCTGACGTAAATCTTGGAGCCATCACCCTCCGTCAACACAATGGGATAGCTCCGGGGGAATGAAGAAGGATCGGTAGAATCAAATCCGGAGGCGTAAAATTGGACGCCGGCCGGCAGAACGCAGGTAGGAAGTTGCGGCGGAGGAGGAGGGTAAAGAGTGTGATTTAGGGAAGGGTACTGATCTAATAGAGATGACAAGTACATGATTCCGGTGCCATGGAAACCCCTGTTTCCGTCGAGGGTCCGGATTTCAGGCCCAATTCCACAAACCACGAAGTACTCGAAGATTCGGGCCATTTGATTTGAATTTGGGGATTATTTGAGATCTGCGGAGAGATTGGTGGTTGAATTGATAAACATGTTGACTGGTTTGGATTCCGTAGGAGGGATGTTATTGAAACTGTTCAAATGTGGTTTTGGGATTTGGTTGTTTGATCGGCCACACCCATGTTTATATATTTTCTTAGAAATGGATGCTGGTAAACTTCTCGTCGCGCAATAGTAATGTAGCAGTCAAAGTTTTTGGTGCGACGGTTTTGGATCATGGTCAAGCGCTTGCTTTTTTTTTTTTTTTTTTTTTTTTATCTTTTATAAGAAAATTGAATATATTAATAGAAAATAAAGTTTCATGAGTTAAAGATGGGAAATTTCGATCATAAAAGCAACCAGACGAAATTAAATTAATTCGAACAAAGCCTTCACAAACTATTGAAGTTGCCAATCAACAAGATTAGGAACCGCAAAATTTGTATTTCCGTGAGGAGTATTTAAACATATTGAAAATGAAGCATAGAGACGTTTGACTTTAATCTAGGATTCGTTCCATGTTTGATTCAGCACCACTCCAACTCTAATGCAAGAAATTTGTTGGCTTTTCCAACGCTTCGAAGCACTTGAATTGATCTTGGAAGAAGTGCATGCAAGTTAAAAGGAGAAGAGTTATGAGCCAATTTATTCCTATTCATCCACACCAAGTGAAGCAGTACATAAATATAAACAAAAAACTCGACCCTAATAGACGTTCAGGGAAAAAGTCTAGAGTTTTTCTTGAGAAGAAGACCAATCAAATCTTTGATTGGGGTGCTAGAGGAAAGGGAAAGAGAGAAATTTCATTTAGACAAAGACCAAATATGTTGTATAAAAGGACAATTGATAAAAAGGTGGTTGCTACTATCATCATTAGAACTGCGGAAAAGACAAAAGGGAGGAGAAAGTATGGCAAATTAGCCTCAAGCTAGCAGAAAGGAGATAAATATAAATGGGGAGAAGAAAGATTATGTTGATTCTCGAACAAGTAGGATGGTCAAGCGTTTTATGCTTCACCAAAACTAACACTCTTGTGTTGTTAATACCTTAAATTTTGAATATAAGGCCAACTCCAACTGGAGACCCCAAACACTCATTTGGGACTAGCTACAGTGTTTTGGGGCTTCACAAAAAGGTTTCACTCTAATGGAAAACATCAAATTGGGACCTTATTTTTAAGTTTAATTTAATTTAATCTATTTTAATGAAAACTAACTATATTTTGTTAGAAATAAATAAATCAATAAATAAACTTAAATTTAAATTTAAATGAAATATAAATAAAATAAATTTAATAATACGAAAATATTAATTTGTTTCACGTCATACCTCTTATATTTTTTCTTGTCGAGGTGTCGATTCAAGAATTATTCTACATATTGGAACTATCACATTTTTTCCAGTAAGATATTTGGGAACACTTATCAATTTTCGAGAGGACGTCAAAATTACTATTACATTTTAGCCGATAAGATATTTTGGGACACGTGTCGGGTTTTGAGAGCACGTTAAAATTTTTGATGAGATTTTGTGTCCATATCGTACATCTTATCTTCATCCCAAAACATCTATTTAAGAGAGTTCATCGGATGCAGTTTTCAACACTTCAATAGCTTCTTCATATTATAACATTTGTTCCCTATTTTGCAATTTCCGTCTCATCATTTTACCATGTATCGAAATCTTGAGTTGCTAAACACTTTCTTAACTTCTGAGTATGATGACGATCTTGAATTGTTTTTAATAGCAATTCAGTATGAGGAAGCCGAAAGGCGAAATAGGCGTCGTTGTGGTTCTGTTCTGGGCCGAAGGGTAATTAATCGTGACAGAGCTCGAGGGCACATAAGGCTTTTATCAGTATTATTTTTCTGATAATCCAACATATTCTGATGGTCAATTCAGAAGAAGATTTCGGATGCGGAGGCCTTTTTTCTGTCAAATTCTAAATGCAGTTGAATCATATGATCCATACTTCATAGAAAGAAATGATGCAATCGGGGTCCCTGGCTTATCATCTCTTCAAAAGGTAATAGCTGCACTCAGAATACTTGCCTATGAAATTCCAACTGATCTTCTAGATGATCATATATGCATACTCAAAGCACCTCCCTTGATAGCTTACGTCATTTTGTCTAAGCCATAGTTGTCATTTTTAGTGAAGTATATCTAAGAACACCAACCGAAACAGATTTATCGCGACTGCTCCAAGTTAACGAGCAACGTGGATTTTCAGGGATGCTTCGAAGCATTGATTGCATGCATTGGGAGAAGAAAAAATGTTCTAACTGCTTGGAATGGTATGTACACTGGCCATTCTTGTTCACCGACTATTGTATTAGAGGCGGTTGCTTCTCAGTATCTTTGGATATGGCATACTTTTTTTGGAATGCCAGGCTCACTTAATGATAGAAATATTTTAGATAGATCTCATGTATTCTTAGCATTAACCAACGGTCGTGTTCCTCTAGTCAATTTTATCTTCAATGGTAACAATTAATCCATGGGTTATTATCTAGTGGATGCTATATATCCATCTTGGGCTACTTTTGTTAAGACAATATTTGCACCACAAGGCTTTAAACCCAAACATTTTGCAAAACTACACAAAGGTGCTAGAAAATATGTAGAACGGGCATTTGGAGTACTTCAAGCTCGTTTCAGTATAGTGTGTGGACCAGCCAGGTTTTGGGATGAAAACACCTTATCTAATATAATGAAAAGTATGCATCATAATACATAATATGATTGTTGAGGATGAAAAAGAAGGTGCAAGTAATGTGAATTTTGACCATGCAACTCCAGATGTTATTCCGTCACACGAGCACACAAATGAGTTTGTTAAATTTATTCAAAGTCATCACCAGATTCGTGATAGGGGTACTCATTCCCAACTCCAACGTGGTCTTGTTGAGCATCTTTGGAATTTGCACAGTCAAGAAGATTGATAGTTGTATTTGTAATATTTCAATTTGTGGCAATATTTCTATTTGTAGTGTTTCAATTTATTTCTATTTATAATGTTTCAGTTTATCTCAACAGTACTCTTTAATATTAATAAAATAAAGTTGAGTACAATTATAATGTTTCATTTTATCTAGAAAACTGTAAACATACAATTTGAAATTACTAGAGAAATAAACAGTGCAATGCTACCTCACATACAAGATTAATCAATTGAAACATTTTTTTGCTAAGTATTTCATTTATCTTGGCCTTCCAATAAGCGGCAGGAATTGGATCCTCCGCTAGTGTTTGTCCCCAAAATTGTAATCTCACGACTTTTTTGAGACTCATCTATCATTTTTTTTTGCGTTGCTCAAACTTTTGTTCTTTTATTTCAATCTTTTTTGCCCAACCCTCATCCGTAACAGACATCGTACATTGGCTACCGGTCTTTAAGTTTGTTTTCTTCCTCAACAATTGTTCTTTTGACGCCTTGTTACCAAGAGGTCGAACGTGAGTAGTGGAGTGATCACTACTATCACCAAATGAGCTTGCATCAAATCGAGGTCGATTATTTTACTTTTTTTTTAGAGTTTGCCATTTTCTCTCGTTTTGAAGAAGTTCAAAGCAATGTTCTAGTTGGAAAGCTTTACCTTCATAGGCAACGTATAGTTGTTTTGCTTCAATCAACTGCAAAAAAAAATAAGGTGAAAAATAAGTAAATAGTATTCTATGAACAAAAATTTAGAATGCCAATTGTTTGAATTTATTTCGTGTTGCATATTAATTATTTGTGTCAGATTTAGTTTTTCATTACTGTTGCGTGAAGTAATGCAACAGTTCGTGAAACAGTTTGTAAAAACATAAATAAACGAGACACAAATTTAATGTGGTTCAGATACAATTGTACCCTACATCCACGAGGATGTACAAAAACGAATATTCACTATTCTAGTTTTACAAGCACAATATTAGGACTTAAACAATAAATTAAAGATTCCCTCTTTATCTTGACGCCGTTCTTGTGCAATACTCAAAACTAGTAACTCCGATTATGCCAGCCTCCTCTCCGCTCGGTTGAACTCCCTTCAACGTTGTATCCCTTCAGTTGGCGGATTGATCTCCTCCCGAGATCTGTTTAAGCCCCTCTCCCGAAGAACCGATCTTTTTATATAGAAGAATCAAACTTGTGATAATCCTTGAATCTTGGTGTCTTCACCACAAAGCCTTCAAGCCGATATATTTTCTATGAAAATCACGTACTCAAGGTGGATCAATAAAAACGGAAGGAAAAAATATTTTCTCTGAACTCTTCTCTCGATAATAAAAGGTACGAACAAAAACGCCGTGCTATGCTGCTATTTATATTTCTATGAAAATAAGAATCAGGTAAAAACAAAACCATTAGGGTTAGAATTCTTTAAACACGTAAAACCATGTATTTGAGTAGGGGTGTGCACGGGTCGGTACGGCTCGGTTTTTCTAATAAACCAAACACGTACCGATAATATCGGTTTCTCATATTTAAAAAACCGAATATGTCGGTTTTTTTCGGTTCAGTGTGAATCGGTTTTTCGGTTTTCGGTAAACGGTTTCGGTATCAATTCGGTTTATTTTCGGTTTCGATTTCGTCTATTTGTTTGAACCGGTTCGGCATAAAACCCATATATTTGGACTTTCATTATATTTATTTGAGAAAATTAACAAATAACAACCGAAAGTTAACTAATAAAAAACACGTCACAACCAAAATTAATTAATAGAAAAAGATGTCACATGGAAGCGCTCGAAAGATAGAGGCACGCTAGGATAAGTATTTATAACATATATAAAAAATACATCATTTTGTATAAATTCGGTTCGGTTCGGGAAATCGTTCGGTAATTTTTAAATTCTCCATACACAAACCGATATTTTCGGTTTTTCAAAAAAATTTTACCGTATATGCGGTTTTAAGTCGGGACGGTATATATCGGCTCGGTTTTTTCGGTTTTCGGTTTTTCGGTTTTTTTGCTCACCCCTATATTTGAGAACGAAGAAAACTCTTTTTTAAGAATAAAGATAATTTCCTATAAAAATCCATTAATGACAAATTAAAGAATTACACTAAACAATGAGACTTCCCCTTTTTTCTCTTGCACAAGTTTTTACTTACTTCTTGTTTATTAGAATCCAAATAGATTCTAACATAAATATTTATCTTTTCATGAGTCGATTGACCGGATTGATGCATATCGTCGATTTGTTTGACACAAC